AACTAAAATTGGTAACTGCAAAAAGTTTTGCTTATAAAATGCTTCTTCATATTTGGAAGTGAAAGTCTGACACCAGAATTTACTTCTTTTTGAACTTTTTGAACTTAAAAAAATGTGATAAAACTACAAAAAGATTTTTGTTATGGATTTCTTCATATTTTCAAGGCTCATACCAGAACTTATTATTTGAATTTTGGGACTTAAGAAATGACATGAACAATAGTGATTTTTTTGCAATGGGACAACTTTGAATTTACTTACATCATCCTAGTGATGACCTAGGAACAGTTTTCTGGAATTATTTGTGTTAAAAATGGAACTGTTTAAATGAAATTTATTGTTTCTACCTAGAGTCAAGATGCAGTTTTGTGTATTCATATATGCTTTATTAATTGGTGATTCATGAATTGTTTTATGGAACTGTTTATGTAAATATGGAGTTACTTATGGAACTGGTTTTGTGTTACAAATGGTACTTTTTAAATGGAAAAGTTTGAGTTTTCTAACTAGGCTTGAGATTTTTTTAAAAAACCTTATAAAGAAAAGAGAGAGTTAATATTCCTTAGTCTATTTAATTAAAAAAATATTTTCTTGTTGTTTGAGTGGATTAATGTCATTTTTTGTTAGTAAGAACTGCAAATGGGATATACTGAGACTACTTTTAAAGTGTAAAGACTTTTATTAAGAAATTGCTTTTGGGTGTTTTGCTAAAAGTTTTCAAAGTGTTAATGGTTAGATTGAGCATATTGCTTTTCAATATGGGATTGTAGGAATTGTCTAAGTTTGGGTTCTTCTAACTAGGTTTGAGATTGTTTAAAAATTATAAAGAAAAGGAGGAGTTACAAGTGAATTAAGGTTGAATGTATGTTTGTAGAAATTATGTTTAACCTATTGATATTAATGCACCCTGGTTTGTGGAGTTAAGGAAATATGTAAGTTTGATGTGTATACATCAGGAGTATTTCCTATGTTCTGTTAGCAAGAAAATTCAAATGATTCTATTAAGAGTTAAAGTTGTAAGACTGAGAAAATTGTTAACTATATATAGCACTATTTATGTTAATTCAAATGGTTCTGTTAAGAGTTTGCTTTGAGTTATAAGATTGAGAGTATTGTAACTATGTATAGCAATATTTATGTTAACCTGTTACTGGTAATGATGACATACGGGATTCTTTTTTTTTTTTTTTTTTTTTGGTTTTTCGAGACAGGGTTTCTCTGTGTAGCTTTGCGCCTGTCCTGGAACTCACTTAGTAGCCCAGGCTGGCCTCGAACTCACAGAGATTCGCCTGGCTCTGCCTCCCGAGTGCTGGGATTAAAGGCGTGCGCCACCACCGCCCGGCCGGACATACAGGATTCTTTAAGTTTGTAATTGCATTAAGTTTTTGGTTTAGAAAGGGCTTGAGGCAGCTAAGACTGCTGTAGTCACCTTGGTCCTAATCCAAAAGAGAAATGCCATCTTTATCATCCTCTACGCCCATACTGGGAGGTATAACAGCTATGGAGATTGCTGTAAGCTATTAATAATGAGCTATTTTTATATATTAAGAAAGGAGGACCTGTGGGAACCTGTTTTCAGGTTCCTCGTGGCTTTACCCAGCAGGTCCGCATAGAGGATGATTAGGACCACAGGCCTGAGTGCAGGTGTCTGAGATGGTCTGCACTTGGCTGTGTTGGGAGGAGGTCTTTTGCTCCACCCCTTGGTGTCTCTATAAATACCCTGGGGCAGAGACATTCAGGGCCTTTGGAATAGGTTCCAGGCCCTCTTGGGGCTATCCTTTATTTTCTACCTGTTTATCTCCACAATCTAAATCCTTCTATCTAATATTTCCTACTGCTCGCACTCAAGAACACTCTGGGGAACTGTGGGGTTGGTGGGTAAATGTCCGCATCTGGGTCTGGGTTAACTCACTCAGAATGATTGTTTCCACCTCCATCCACTTACCTGTAAATGTCATTTAATTTTCCTTAATGTTTGAATATCATCCTTTTGTGTAAATATATTATAATTTTATCCATTTATTAGTTGATAGACATCTAGGCTGTTTCCATTTTCTGGCTATTGTGAATAAAGCAGCAATGAATATGGATGAATAGGTATCTCTAGAATTTGGGTATATACCTAGTAGTGATATGGCTGGATCATATGGTAGATCTCCATTTAGATTTTTGAGTATTTTCCACACTGATTTCTATAGTGACTGTACCAGTTTGCCATCCCATCAGCAGTGAATTATTGTCCCCTTTCTAAAAACCATTGTTAGCATTTGTTATGAGTTGTTTTCTTGATGAAATAAAGATTGGTTTTCATTATTCTACTAGTAGCTGTTCAGTTTGGCCAAAACAATTTGAAGATGTTGTATCTCCCAAAGTATATTGTTGGATATGTTGTAAAAAATAGGGCAGTTTGAAGAGTGTGCATCTTAAATTCTATTCTACGTATTGGTGAGTTTGTTTTTATGACAGTTCCTTGTTAGTTTTATCATTATAACATTGTAATATAACTTTAAGTCTGGGATGGATAATGATACCTCCATCAATACTTTTGTTGTTAAGGATTGTTTTGTTTATCCAAAGTTTTTGTATTTCAATATGAAGTTTAATATTATCTTTTCAATTCATATGAACAATTGTGCTGTGGGATGTTCTGGATGGCAAATGTGTTGCTCTGATTGGTTAGTAAATAAAACACTGATTGGCCAATAGTTAGGCAGGAGGGACAAGGTGGAGAAGAATTCTGGAAAGTGGAAGGCTGAGTCAGAGACACTGCCAGTCGCCACGATGACAAACAGCATGTGAAGATGCCAGTAAGCCACGAGCCACGTGGCAAGGTATAGATTTATAGAAATGGATTAATTTAAGCTGTAAGAACAGTTAGCAAGAAGCCTGGTATGGCCATACATTTTGTAACCAATATAAGTCTCTGTGTTTGCTTGGTTGGGTCTGAGCGGCTTTGGGACTGGTGGGTGAGGGAGATTTGTCCTGACTGTGGGCCAGGCAGGAAAACTCTAGCTACACAATTGCATTGGAAATTTTTTGGAGATTGTGAGGTATCTATAGTTTAATTATTTTTTAGGATGATTGTTTTCACAATATTATTTCTGTCAATTCATGGTCAGGGAAGGTCTTTTTGTTTTCTGTTATCTTCTTAGATTTATTTTTTGAATGTCTTAAAATTTTCACTGTAGAAGTCTTTCACTTCTCTGGTTAGGATTGTTTTAAGATTTTTAAATATCTGTTGCTAATGGTATTTTTTTATTTCTTTCTTTGTGCATTTGGCGTTTGAATTTTATATATTAATTTTGTATCCAGCTACTTTGCTGATGTATTTATCAGCAATTAGAGTTTTCAGGTAGAATCTTTAAGACTCTTTATGTATATATCATCCATAAATAAAGTCAATGTGGTTTCTTCCTTTCCTATTGGTATCTCTTTGTCTTTTTCACTTGTCTTATTGTTCTAGCTAAGACTTTAAGCACTATATTGAAGATGAGTGGAGAAAGCAGACATCTTTGTCTTTTTCTTGACTTTAGAGTAAATACTTTGAGTGGCTTTCCATATCAGAAGGTGTTGGTTGTGGGCTTGCTGTACACTGACTTGGTTATGTTGAAGTTATGCCCCTTACACCTTTAGTTTCTCAAAGCCATTATCATGAACAGACGTTGAATTTTGTCGAAAACCTTTCATGCATATAAAGAAATAATCATGTGATTTATGTCCTCTAGCATGTTTACATATGGTGGATTATACTTATTGATATGTGCAGGTTATCATATAATAATTACAGACATAAAAGAAAATACTACCATGGAAAACACTTAGTTCTCCACAAATGAATACTAAAAAAATCAAGAAAGGCTATTGTACTCATCACATTTATTTTTGTACCCATGTAAACAGATGATTAGAAAAAACTTGAAATTGTATGATAATTTAGTTTATGAATTTTAGAAAAGATATTTACACACACATATACAAGGCTATGATTATCAACAAGATAATGATAGTGAAATTTAAGACAGCATGCAGGTCACTGTCTCTTTTATATGGAAGTATTTACCATATTAAATCAACATCAAACATTCACAACAAACATTTAACTTTCAATAGGGATATTATATGTCAGACTACAAGGTTTTAAAGTATTTTCCACACTTTATAGGAGTTGTGGTGTGTGCATATCCTTTAGTAGTCTGAAGCACATCAAGAAAAAATAAGTGCTGTTTCTACAGGTTAAATTAAAATAAATGTTTGAGTATTGTGATGAACTTGATATTAAATAGGCCCTTCTTTATACAATTTAAATAACTTCTACCATAAAATTCAAAGTACATTAGTTTCCACACTGTATAATACTGTAATTTTTTATCCTGTGAGGATCCTTGTATTCTGAAAGTCAGACTTACCTTCTTTCTGCAAACTTTTTACATTTTTATGGAAGTAATATTATGTGTAAAAGTCTTAATATCTAAATTTCTAATGTATTCTGAACTTTGGTTGAGAGACATACCTTCTTATTTACTCTAAAACCCATGTAAATAAAGACATTCCGATGTCTGTCTATTTCAGTGTTGGTATTTGTTTGATGTAAGTAAGCACTACAATGGAAATATAAAATCTCCCTAAAATTCAATTAATGGATAATTAATATTTTATTTTTCAGCATTGTAATGCATATTGAGATAAATCAGCAGTTCTCTGAAGTTTCCATTCTTATTTTGGAGCCTCTTGAGCTAGTCCTGTGTTCTCAGATTTATCATCAAACACACATTGCCAACTAGACCACAAGATAAGATAAACTATAACATATCAATCATCTTCAAGGACAGCTATTTCCAGTGGTTTGTCACACTTACCAGCTCTAGCTAAACCTCTTCTTGCCAATGTCAAAAAGGCAAGCATTGCAGATAACACCACTTTCATGTTATCCAGCTTAAGGGAAAGTGACTTGAGTCTATGGGGAAAGCTGTAGCTGATCTAGCCTATCACTAGATTTGAAGATGAGTACATTTGAAGAGGCTTCTGAGCCAGTAACAGCTGAAATTGTGAGCTTTGTTTTACTTACTGAGGATACAGACAGGAACCTCATTCTTTGCATTCAGAATGAGGCTAGTGAAATGGAAAACCCTACTGAACCTCAGAATAAGAGGCCTTGTTTGTCCACAGAGGATGGTTCAACTCCTTACATGCCAGCTGTTGCATTCCCACTACCAGAAACGGAGCAGAGCTTTGATTTGGTCACAACTACAGTCACAGAGGTGGCGGGTGAAGAGATTACTGAGGGAACTATGATGCAGTTCCAGATTTTACAGGATGACAAACCAGATGAAGCATTCCCCTTGGCTAGTGCACAAGAGTCAGTCGTTAGCCAAGCATGGTTAAGAGGCAGAGAAGATAAAGACAAGCTAACCAGACAAGGACATAAATGGAAGCAGGGGATGTGGTCCAAGGAAGAAACAGATATTTTGATGAACAACATTGAATGTTATATGAAAGAACATGGAATAGAGAATGCTGCAGAAATCATTTTTAAGATGTCAAAAGGTAAAAGAAAAGATTTCTACAGAACTATATCTTTGGGTCTGAATCGGCCTTTGTTTTCAGTTTATAGGAGAGTGGTCCGAATGTATGATGACAGAAACCATATGGGAAAGTACACCCCTGCAGAAATTCAGAAGCTCAAGGAGCTCTGGCAACAGCATGGCAATGACTGGATAACAATAGGTGCCGCCATGGGAAGAAGTCCGTCTTCTGTCAAAGACCGGTGCCGCCTGTTGAAGGACACTTGTAACACGGGGAAATGGACCGAAGAAGAAGAACGGATTCTCGGAGATGTGGTTCACGAATTGACACGCACTGAGGTGGATGAGAAGGTCACACATGGTGTGTGTTGGGCAACAGTGGCTCAAAGAGTAGGTACTCGCTCAGCAAAGCAGTGTCGTGCTAAATGGCTCAACTACCTGAACTGGAAACAGACTGGAGGGATTGAGTGGACCAGGAAAGATGAAGTCACTCTCATCCACATGCTAGCAGAGCTTGATGTAGCTGATGAAAACGAAATTCACTGGGATGACTTAGCTAAAGGATGGAAAAGTGTTCGTTCACCACAATGGCTGCGTAGTAAATGGTGGACCATCAAAAGGCAAATTACAAACCATAAGGACTTTGCATTCCCAGTCCTAGTGAAATGTCTTCAACAAGTATATGAGAGCCAAAGTGCCAGTCTCATGTTTGGGGAGAATAAATCAGAATCTGAATTGTCAGATTGTAACCCTGATAACAGTGTTCAACAAGTCCCCCTCAGAGTCACAGGTGTAGAAGATAATAGTACATCCATCTATCCAGACCCTGTGACAGGATTGCAAATTACACTCCAGATTGTCCCTGTCAGCTCAACAGATTACCCTGTGGCTATTGTTAACTCTGAAACAATAACCCTGCTCAGTGGACCACAATAGATATTTGATATTCTTCCTTATTTCCATTTATATTCCATTCCCTCACCTTGTACCGACTTCCTTCAAACAAGCTCAACTCAAGGACTTCCCTTAACTCTGACAACTAGTCCCACAGTAAGCCTGATGGCTGCTGCACCTGCTTCTCCTAACTTATCACATTTTGTCTTTTATCCCCAGAACATCTACTGAGCACTCCAATAAATGACATGTGGAGTGTCATACATCAAGAATCATCACTGAAACTGTTGCAGAAAATAATATTGTTCTTTCCACTTCCCAAGCAGAATTGGCAGTCAATAGTGACATCTATTGTTCTGATTTTCATGATCTTGCAAGTTCATTCAAAGCAAACAAATTTCCTGAGAAAATTCTTCAGCTAAGATAGTTCTTCAGCCATCATTTAATTATGCACTTGTTTCTCAATTCAGAGAACCAAACAGCACAGAGCTAATGAACTGTGCTATGATTACAGCAGAAGAAAATTTCTGTGACACCAAGCATAAGAATAAGAAATTCACTCTGATTTATCCAGTGCTTGAGTTACTGAGGATTGAGTCACTCACCATAGTAGAGCAAGAGCATTACACAAGTGATAACAAAACTACGCTTTGTGCCCCTTCACTACCTGGTTTTATCAAGGCATGGGATTTTACAAGTACTCAACCTGTCTTGCCTTTCACAACACTGATAGGTCTTATAATCCCAAAACAGCAAGGATCAAATACCATTGTATTCTTTTTGGAAAGCCCCATTTCTATAGACTTCAAGGATATTGGACTTGCTAAAACATTACCAGCCTATCCTTAAAAACAAGCAAAATGCCAAAAAACATTATTGTATCTGCAGAGGAACAGGAGCCATTTCCAAGGGATCTTACTTTCTAATCTCCTGACTCATACAGCTACAGTGAGTTAGCTATGAACATTAAGACATTGACTTCTCTTTACTATTTTCAATACACCTGAGGTCTAGTTTTATGACAGTGTGTTTGTGTGGACGGTGAAAAGTTTAATTGAACATAGCCCTGTGTTGAATGTTATCAAGAGGTAAATATTTTTCCTTCATCTACTGGAAAGTTTCAAATCACCAAAGTTAACTGCAGTAATGTCCATGTCTATAGCTCAGACATGGTACTCAATCAAATCTCCAGAGGGTCATTTATATTTCAAACAAGTCCTAACAATACAGTCCAGTGCTTATTGGTTACAAATACAGAGACTTTGCAGGTAACTTTCTGTTAATTATTCTTGGTTAACCCATTGTTGGCAGATGGAGCCCACTTAGACAGTAGAAAGTGAGTAAAGAAAATTCACTACAATTTTACTGTTCTTAAAGGGAATATGAATTAGTAATCAAATCTACTAGTAGGGAAGAAGTTTCCACCCACTCATCTTATTACCACATTTTACTTTACAGTTTGCACACTGAATTGAAACTAAATGAGGAAAGATGTACAGTCCCTGCACTTGATAACCAGGACATTTTATTACATGTTGTACTATATCAAATACACAGAAATCAGAGAGAGAGAGCTTGTATTGTACCCTTACCAACCAATATGCTATATAAATGGAAGCTTTAAAGACAAAGTTTACATATGTAATAAAAGAAACAGATCAATTGCCATTCCTACTGGTTATGCCTAAACTGGCTTCTAGATTCCAACTGATGTGTTTGCTATAAAAATTCGCCAAAAGTATAGTAACATAACTTGGTTGTGAAGATATAGTTCTGAGCATAATTGACTATTTCATATTAGCAAAACACAAACAGAATAAGAAATGTGGGCTGATTAAGGGACAATATGTGTGTGTTCAGTTTATGAATAAAATTGTCTTACAATTCAAAAGTTTGAGATACTTTTTTGTGTGTTTACTGAGGATTTCTGCATGAAGGGATGTTTAGAACAATCATGTAGAGTAACTCAAACATGAAGCTCTTTCACAAAGTTAAACAAAATCGAAGTCAGCACTGTTTTGCCACTGACACACCTATAACTCATTGAGTTGGTCCTTTGTCATGAGAAAATATTCAGCATTTGAAATCACAGTGTCTGTTAAGGAAGATGAAGCACATGGAGCAGCCTCCCCTTATATACTCTACAAATATTGTATTGCCTAAAAAAACACTGTTAAATACCATAAATTAACTTAGAGTAGGGCATACCCTGATCTCAATAAAATCACTGTTCATTTCTGTAGATGTAATTCTAGACGGCTTATTAAATAAGAAACACAGAGCCAAATGCAGAGTTAAAAGTCCAGAGATCAGAGAGCAGTAGCCAAGAGCTAAGACCACCCACTGTCACTGCCGTCCTTCCCCTGAGAAAAAGACCTACTTCCTGTGTGTCTGTATTTTTATTGCCTTTCTGTTCTGCCTTCTCATTGGCTCTAAACCCAACCACATGACTTCTTCGTCACTGCCTATATATACAGACCTCCAGGTCTCTATGGTTGGTACTTGGATTAAAGGTGTGGGTCACCATGCTGACTGTGTCCTTAAACACACAGACTCTGCCTGCCATGTGATCAGATTAAGGGCATGTGCTACCACTGCCAGACTTCTGCTTAATGGCTATAACCTCTGATCCCCAGGCAACTTTATTTATTAACATACAAAAAAATCACATTTCAGCACAAATAAAATATCACCATACCTTTCAAAATACTAAAATACTTTTAGTTGTGTATATCCCTGAGACTCTTCTGTTTACCTTAGTATCTTGCCTAAGGCAAATGCCCATTATTTTTTTTCTACCCTTATTTACTGATATTACTACTCATACCACACAACAGAGTCAATGTATCTGTATATCTCTCTTTTCTCTCTATAGGTACATATATAATATAAAGTGTATGTGTGTGTATGTGTGTGTGCATTACAAAATAAATGCAGGTTAAAGTGGCTGCAACAGATTAAAGATGCTTCAGAATTGATCTAAACCATGTCATTATATGTAGTCAATGAACATGACCAGTGAAGAAGGAGCAGTTAGTAGAAATTGTTGGTGTCAGGTTTAAGTTTGAAGCTGTAGAATGCAAGGTAAAATGTCTGAGCAAGAAATGGGTCACATGCAAGTCTAAACATGCAAACTGGACAGGTAGGCAGTTGAGTAGGTTGTATCAACACCAAGGAATAGATCTGTTGTTGAGTCCCCAGTACTTGACACTCATACCAGATATCAAATGCTAGATTGATGTACATCCATGATATCACAGTGTTACATGTCCTTCACTTCATGGTCTGGGTGAGAAAGTATACCCTTTCCTCAGTCTGGTGGGTCCAGTATGTTCTTGGGCTGAGTTTTCTTGATATGATTACAATATGCCTAAGTACTCCCACAGTTCTAAGTCTCCACAATAGTCATATAAGGTGGCTCTCTTTCTACTCGTAGGAATAGGTCTTTAATGAGTCTGTGCTGAATGAGTGGGGCCAGAGAAATGGTACAGTTTCTGGATCTACTATTGTGCTTCAGTCATACTTTCCTCTCAATACAGAGAGGACAATGCACAGACTGAAAAGGCACTGTTTTATACAATATGGAGTTACAGAGTAGGGCAGTGCATGATCTCATCAAAAATTTCTGTGTATTAAAAGGCCTGTGATATCTATAACTAGGGACGTGTTGTGAATAAAAATAAAATGTTTATTGTTAGATTGATGCCATCTAGGACTACAGGAATAATAATGGGTTCATTTTCTTTGCTAATTAAATAATTAAAAAGAAAGAACCAAGTGTTACTTGACATTTTAGGATGGCTTGGACAGGCCATCATATGACACTCAAGAAATTGTAGTCACCTTTTAGGTTTACTAGTCTTACTACATAAAGTTATTTCAAAGAAGGACTCACAAGGACCAAGGACAGACTCAAATAGAATTTGAGGAGAATTTATTGGTGAAGAAAAATACCAGAGCAGACAAGCTGTAAATCTCACAGAACTGAATTTGTAGGAGGAGAATGAATGTGGTGAACTGGCATGGAGGTCAGTCAAACAGTGGCCGGCAGCCAGAAGTTGACAGGGAGGGAAGCATTAGAAAAAGAGCACAGATGCTCAGAGTTAGTTATGGAGCATAAAGGCATACTTAGGTTTTGTCTAGTATCTAAAGAAAAAGACAGAAGAAAATGAATAATTCTGACTTTCCCAGTAAGAACTCATAAAGATACCAGACCCAGGCAAATCCTCTGGTGGCTCATAAGGATTTCCCTAGGACCCAGGAAATTGTGGAGGGAAAGCACATCATCTTTAGGTGAACCCACATTCCCAGGAGTGGTCATCTTGTCCAGTCTAGTACTTTCTCCTTGCAGAAACCCTTTATGGAGGATATAGGACATGTCTCTAACTAGACGTCGATTCCATTCTTTACAAGATTACCAAGTGTCATTCTTGTTAAATAATTTGTTTCATGAAACATTCTAAAACTCCAAATCTGGAAGGGGGAAATAATATAATCTGTACACTAACCTCCCCATGCTGTATGCTGGTATAGTGTGAGTCTTCTAAAGTTGTCATAGAAGTGGCTCTATTGTTCATTAAGATGATTTAGTACTTCATGCCTAAGCTCCATCCTGGGAAGATTGAGTGTACCTGCTCCTAAGGTTCCACCTGGCTCATGGGATAAGAATAAACAGAGAAATTTCCCTCCTGCCTTGGGAGACAAGGTTCACCAGCAGAACAATATAGAAAATTCTTCAATATTTTGAGCATCTAGCTGCCACATGGAACAGACTTAAAAGGAGAGCAGCAGGCATTCCAGGAACCTGTCCCAGGTGCATGTGCAGGGCTGCACAGGGAAGGGGAGAAAGAGGCCTCAGAAGTGCACACATGTGGAAAATGGAAAGGAATATCCCTGGCAAATGCAGATGTATCATGGGAATGAACAAGGCTTCTTGAATGACAGCCAGTGATGAGCGGCTGACTCAGGTGGCTGTAGAGCTGGTGGGTGGCTGCAACTGCATGTTTGGGGGTTGTAGTGCACAGTTATTGTAGGGAGATAGCAGTGGGAAAAATCCACTGGTGGGAGAAGCTAGTTTTCCATGGTGGTAGGAAAGTGGTGGCCTTAAAAGACCCAATCTTGCCACTCGTTGGATACCAGATAATGTGTTTACCTTAATCGTTATAGTGCTAATAAAAACTCGGGAGTAAGAAATTGATGTAAAAACCTGATATCTCCAAGGAACAGTGGAAGGATGATCAGCTAACCCTACTCTCCATGTTTTCCAGATCCAAAAGTCCATGAAATCTCCTCAATGTAATGAGAGCCTCAATGGTCTCTCTATATATCAATTTATTAAGGGGTTCTATGGGGAAAACAGACTCACTGATACAAAATGAAGTGATGCTATTGCCTCGTCATCACCCAGGGAAAGCTCCAGACCAGGCTGCCAAACCATGCCCCAGGAAGCCTTTCATGTCCAAGAGAGAGCTCGAGACTCCTTCCCCAGTCCCTTTTAAGAGGTCACATAGGCAGGCAAGTAGCACTGACTCTATAGGGCCAGTTAGCCCAAGGTCATGGGTGGAGTGAATACTCACTATACTTCTCCTTTTTGTCTAAATAAGAAGGTTCTAAACCTAATACAAAACAATATACAATAACCATGATTATCAAGTATTGTCAGGAGGAAGAAAGGGTAATAACATAAACAAAAGTGGAACTACCACCAAAAAGTACACAATTAAGTAAGAAACATACTAAATGTTCAGATCATATATAAATGGCAAATTATAGAGATTACTCTAAAAGATGTCCTATCTTGAAGAACATAAATCTAGTACCTAATATGCTCTTAGCTAACATATAAGAGG